ACTGAAACTCGACTAATCACTAAACAGCACTTCAAAATACCACAATACCTGACATATCGTACTGACCACCCTGACGGAAAAGCACATGCCGGTACTGCTGTCATTGTACACCAATCCCTCTCCCATCACCTACTCCCGTTACCTACACATGATTTCCTACAGTCCACCGCTATCGTGATAAAAACCTTTTCCTTTCCGGTTACCCTTGCATCAGCGTATTGCCCTCCTAACCGGTCCATATCCAATGCCCAATTCCGTTCTCTCCTCGACTCCTTAGGACATCACTTCATCTTGGGTGCAGACCTAAATGCCAAACATCAACATTGGGGTTCCAGAACCACGAATACTCGTGGCCGAACCCTGCTGTCTGCACTCAATTCCCAACGTTTTCACCTCATTTCCCCCAACTCTCCTAACTACTGGCCTACAGATCCCAACCGTAATCCTGATCTTCTTGATTTCTTTATCCACAGCGGCTTAAGTCCCCTCAATTGTTCCATTACACGTCTAAATGAACTTTCCTCTGACCATAGTCCTCTAATCCTTAATGTTTCACTTGAACCCGTTCCCAAACCTTCTCCACCGTCATTTATTAGGGGCCCAGTTAACTGGGACCTTTTCCGCCAAATCATCTCCGATAAAATTGATCTTAACATATCACTCAAAACTCCCGATGACCTTGATAGTGCCGTAAATTCCTTTACTACCACAATCCAACAAGCCGCCTGGACTGCTTCCTTCCCAAAAGACTCCTCCAGAATTCCTAAAAAGACCATTCTACCCCAACACCTCCTTGACCTAATCCAAACCAAACGCAGTGCCAGATTATTGTGGCAACGTACCCGACATCCTACCGACCGCTGCTCCTATAATTATTACTGAAAAAAATTAAAACTGGAATTAGCCACCTTCAGATCACATTCCTTCAACTCCTACCTATCCTCCCTCTCTTCTCGCGACAATTCCCTTTGGAAAACCACAACCAAAATCTTAAATCCTCACCGCATTTCCCATCCCCTCCGACGAGATGATGGCTCCTGGGCAGCATCTGACGAAGATAAGGCTGAGGAGTTCGCCATTCACCTATCCAATACATGTATTTCACATCCGGAATCCCATCCTGCCCACACCGTAACAGTAGAAGAACTCCTTACATCACCAATCCCACTTTCCTTGCCCCCAAAAGCTATTCATCCTTCCGAAGTGAAATTTCAATTAAAAAAACTAATCTCCCGTAAAGCTCCTGGACATGATCTCCTTACCCCTCAAATCCTTCGACAACTTCCATCCAAAGCAGTCATATTCCTTACATATATCCACAATTGTATCCTACGCACCACCCACTTTCCTCTGCTATGGAAACACTCCACTATTATCCTTTTCCCAAAACCAAGCAAACCTCCCAATATCTCAACATCCTATAGATCAATTAACCTACTCCCAATCCTTTCAAAAATTTTTGAAAAGATCCTTTTGAAACGAATCCTACCCATTATAGAATCCCAAAATATTCCTTCCCATCAGTTTGGTTTTCGCTCCCAACATTCTATTGTTCAACAAGGACTCCGAGTTGTTGATCATATTTCCTCAGCCCTAGAAAACAAGGAATACTGTTCGGGTGCATTTCTGGACATTGCACAGGCATTTGACCGGGTATGGCACTCCGGACTGCTCTTCAATCTTAAAATCCATTTACCTCAGTCCTTGTACCTAGTCCTCCGATCCTACCTCTCTGACCGCTCCTTCCGAGTTCGCTGTGGAACAGAATTTTCCAATATCTACTCCGTTAAAGCCGGTGTTCCCCAAGGCAGCGTCTTGGGTCCCGTGCTTTACATCCTCTTTATTGCTGACATCCCTGTTCATCCCGATACTTTTCTTGCAACATTCGCTGACGACACCGCAATCTTATCATCCAACTCTGATCCCGAAATAGCATCCTTAAATCTCCAAAACTACCTCACCTTGATTGAGCACTGGTGTAATAACTGGCGCATTAAAGTTAATGAATCTAAATGCCAACATATTACCTTTACACTCCGACGCAGTTCCTGTCCACCAGTACACTTTAATTCCATCCAGCTTCCTTACTCAGACACAGTCCGGTATCTTGGCTTTCATTTAGACCGAAGACTAACGTGGAACCCACATACTAGACTCAAAAGACAAGAACTCAACCGACGATACGGCCAGCTATACAGACTACTAAACAGAAAATCCAAACTTTCTATTGAAAACAAATTACTTATCTACAAGACAATACTGAAACCTATATGGACATACGGACTTGAACTGTGGGGGACAGCAAAAGCTTCTAACATCAAACGTATTCAATCCTTTCAATCTAAAGTCCTTCGAACAATAGTTGATGCTCCGTTCTATGTAAATAACAAAATCCTACATCATGACCTTAATATCCCATTTGTCCTAGACCTTATTCCAGAAAAATTCTCCAAATTTCACCAGAACCTTACCTATCATCCAAATCCCCTTGCACAATCTCTATCCAGCACAACTCATCCTTACAATCCTCCTCGAAGGTTGAAGCGGCAGTGGCCCAGAGACCTTTTGTAAATAAGCATCTATTGGAGTTTTGGCAATGGCCAGATCCTCCACTCAAGGCCGAGTGTGTATGATTAGGTTAGTTCTTTTGTTTATATACATTTATTTTATTTTATTGTATTTATTTTTATTTTATTTTATTGTATTTATTTTTATTTTATTTTATTGTATTTATTTTTATTTTATTTTATTTTATTTATTTTTATTTTATTTTATTGTATTTATTATGATTAAGTTTCTGTATTATTTATTTACTTTTTATTGTAAATAGAGTGTGAGTGTGCTTTCTCTGAACACTATTATAAATGTCCTTGATGTGACAGAATGTAATATTTCTAAATAAACAAATATAATAAAAAAAAAAAAATTTTTTTTTGAGGGAGGGGTTAATATTAGGATTACTTATTACATAAAAATGTCAAATTTAGAAACATTCGTAAAGAGAAAACGCGCTTCTTCAATTTTGATTTAAATACTTTTTTTTTAATCTATCATTTCACATTATGTTTTATATTTATTTCAAATATTACAAAAAGTGTGGAATTTTGCATTTCTGAAAAACAAAAAAACACACATGTAACACAACTTCTAATATTACATTTTGTTTGTTTTAAAATAAACAAAATAGGAAATGAACCTTTCTCTCACTCTTTAAATTTATTAATATTAATAAATTGATAGTATATTATACCTTAAAGTATTGATTTTATGTAGAAAGGTAAATAATAATCTTAAAACGTCCAGAACCAAGGAGGGTATTATCGGTCTCGTGGTTACGTCAGAGCTCGATTCCTCACCACCATTTTCCCTCTGAGTTAGCGAACCTGTTAGTTTTATAGACCTTGGGTTTTGGCTTATCAGTGTTACCACCGTTCGTGATAAATCTTGGGTTTGAATCATGAGCTCTACTTGTTAGCTCCAACGTGGAGCACCAGGCACCTTCCATCGCTTCATGGATAGACTGTTAAGTGGTCTCTTTGAGGCTGAGATCTTAGTTTACTTGGATGAAATTATTATATTAGTGGGAACCTCAGATGACCACCACCAACTGTAGGACGTCCTGAAAAGGCTAAGAGCGGCCGGCATAGAGCTAAATCCTCTGGAATGTAAGTTCATGAAGTCAGAGTTGATCTACCTTGGACATCTTATCTCCAGAGAGGAAGTAAAACCGTATCCCCTGAAGGTTGTGGTTATAGAGAAATACCCAAGGCCACATGGATTAAAAAACATAAGAGCGTTTTTGTTCTGCCACGCTATTATAGAACATTTATTCTTAATTATAACTAGGAGATCTTTGGAATTGCCTGAAAGAAAGCCACTTGCTGAGTTATCCGGATCTCTTGCTTCCTTTTATAATTTACATGGACGATTCCGGGGTGGCTCTTGGAACAGTGAGCACAAAAGAAGTGATCTCATGGGTTTTTCACCTTTTGTCTCCCACTGTAGGAGTGGCTCGAACGGAATATATAGACCTCATTTTGTAGTAGTGTATGAAAGATTCGTTTTTAACCTACTCAACTTCATATGG